ACAATTTTTTTTTTTTTTTTTTTTTTTTCCCCCCCCCCCCCCCCCTTTCTTTTCTCTGAAATTTGTGTGGGTATGTATGTGAAGTGTGAACTCAAGTTCAGGAAAAATCCAAAGGCCATATATGTGTATATTTGTGTATGTGCATGTATGTATGCGTGAAAGTCTGGGATTTATCTATCTATTGTTTAGTTTGGTTTTCTTTTCTAATTTATCTGATAACTAGATAGCCACACTTTTAAGCTGTGTAGACAAGATAAAAAAATAAAAAATAAAAAATTATCAATTCACACTTTTAAGTTGTGTAAGTACTTGCCATTGAACTTTCTATAGAAATCTGTTTGGGGAAAAATCATTAGAATTTTGAAGTCACTCTAGCTGATTTGGTGCCAAATGATTATAATATTCTAATCTGTTGGTGCCAAATGATCATGACCTCTTTGCTTGTTGAGTTGTTTAGGAGGACATGTAGGTATTGGCTCACTGCGTGTGCAAAACCTGGAATCATTTCATTTTTTGTTTAATGTCCAAATGTCTAAAAATGTAGTTACGATATTTTTTATTATACTAATTTATGATAATATTACATATTTTATGATTAATGTTATAAAAACTTGATGAACCTGGAGAAGTGATGGACCTGGAGAAGAATGCAAAACTACATGGGCTGAGCCTTGCTCTAAGCTCCAATGTTTGCCTTGGAAAGCTATATCAAAACATGTGAATAAGATATAGTTTTGATTTTGTTGTAAATATAGCCCCTTTATATATATATATATATATACTTACTAGCTACTTTATGAAATCAAGTGGTCTTCAATTCAATCCAATTTTGAAGTTTTCCAGTTTTCCCTAATTCTCTAATTAACAGTCACTTGAGATTTTCCCTAGTGTTCTAGCTAATACCCATACACAAATATACTTGTGTTCTAGCTGATACGCATCCAACTTGTATAATCCTTATATACTAGTGTTCAGTAGTAGTAGCAGCAGCAGCAATTAACAAATATACTAGTGTTCTAGCTGATGCCTATTCAACTTGTATAATCCTTATATATTAGTGTCCTAGCTGATACCCGTTCAACTTGTATAATCCTTACATGGATAATCTGTGTACAATAATTTGTTTTGTTGCTTTTGAAAATAAATAAATAATAAGAATAGTAATATGTGGGTTTTAATTTTTAGCCTGATTCTATTCGTGCTAAAATTGTTATGTAAAATCTGTGTATGTGAATTTTTTTGTAATAATCATTAATCATGATCTCTCTGTTGATAATCTTTCATCCTGCTTCTATAATTTTTCTCTGTGATTTGGGTACTACCTAAAACATTTATTCATTTGTTGTTAATGTAAATTGAGATGAAAAATGAGTCCATTTTTGAAGGAGTCAGAAAAGATGAGTCCATTAGTGTTTTTGTCCCATGTTTTTCGACCCAACTGAGGCTTTTCCGTTTTGCCTTTTGGCAAGAAAAAATTGCCTTTCCGATTCATTGCAGATCGATGTTGTGTTTTGGTGATTTGAGTTGGGAAGCATATGGTCCTTAGTGTGATGCAAAACCATTTACCTGCTAAAACCTAATGGACGAATACTTTCTCCAAGCATGCTCGAAGTGCAGAAGGATACCATTCTCGATCATTGCTTCCCTCTATGTCAACAGAACACCCTTTTCTTTTCTTTTTTTTTTTGTACAATTTGCGCTTCTTTTTTTCTTTTTAAATTTTGGTGGATCATGTACCAGACATTTCATTAGAAGTAGGTGCCATTTTTGAAATTTTATTCGATGAATGTGAACTTTACAACAGGAGTAATTTCATGTGTTCTTTTGTGCCAGAGCCTGTGGCAGGATATTCTCCCCCTTGTCTTTTGGGCATTTTATCTTCATATTCCATCTTCTATTGTGGCAATGTTTTCTTTTTTCATTTTTCTTTATAAATATTTTATTATTATTATTTTTACACACTTAAGGATGTTGACTTGTCTGGGAGGCTGCTCCTGTTTAATTAGAGATTGAGTGAATTTTGATGCCTAGAACTACTACTGGGGATGATGGACAAATTCATCTGTAGTGGTGTAAATGCATATTGCAATAGCCTAAACTGACCTTTCAGTTGTGCTTTTTAAGTAGAAAGTGCAGGAGAGTAGCATTTATTCATTGGGAAGCCCCATTAAAATATGCACATTGTTACACTTTTTTTTTGGTACATATTATATATTTCGAAAAATATTTCAATGAAAAAAATATCTCCCTCAACAGTGGAAACATTTTTTTGATCATAATGAGATAGATTAGTCTTTCCAACACAATCAACAACCATTGCCCTGCTACCATCACCCATACCACCACTTTCACAAGGATATGTTTTTTGCCCAAAAAACAATGAAAACTGATTGTGACCATACATCTTTCTTTTAAAGGATGATCAAGTGAAAGTGGAAAAGAAACTTTCATATGAATTTTTGGTTGCTAAAATCCTTCTGGGCTGGCTATATTTTAATAATTAGTTTATTTTTATTGCCTTAATAGTAATTTATTGTATTTTTATTACAATGAGATTTTTTTTGTTCTCTTGTGAACTTAATATTATTAGAAAAATAAAAAATAAAAAAAATAAATTTGAGGTAATATAAAAATGTACCAAATTAGGTACTAATTAATCAACTTCCATTAATAAAACAACTTTTTCAAAATTTAAAGTGAAGAAAATGAAAAAATTACAATTTTTATGTTCATAAGGGCAAAAATGACAATTACACAGCAAAAAGTTATTTTACAGCTTATTTACCAAACACTACTCTGCTGCTTAAATCTATAATCTCACAACTACACCAAACAGGTTACCAGCTTGTGCTCACAGCTATAAGCTATAATTTGTTAAGTTATATTCTATAATTACTTTCCTACAGCTCTACCAAAAGGGTGTTGTCTGGTGCTGTAATTGCTTACAACCCACTATAAGAAAAGAGGGTATAGAACACGGAAACATTTGCGACGACACCATTTACTGTCACAAAAAGTGAGTTTTTGCGACGGCACCACTTGCCGTCGCCAATAAATCGGATTTCAGCGACGACACCATTTCCCGTCGCAAATGAACAAGTTTTTGCGACGGCAACGACAGTCGCAAATAATTCAAGTGTTTTGAGACAGCAACCCTTGTTGTCACAAATAAAGATATTTTTGCGACGGTATGAAACTTGACGTCACAAAAAAAAAACCCCCCAAAATCTGGGCTTAGCTATTTTTTTCCCCCCCTTAACCAAAAATCCCTAATCTTCCCCCCCTTGAACCAAAAATCCCTAATCTTTCCCCATCTCCTCTCTCTCTCTCTCTTCCCCCCCTTCCAAGCCAAAAATCCCTAATCTTTCCCCATCTCTTCTTACGACTCTCTCTCTCTCTTGACGGCGAGCAGCGTGCGACGGCGGTGAGCCAGCAACGATGGTGCGGCGTCTCTCTTCAACTCTCTCAGTCAGTCTCAATCTCTGAACCAGGTTAGCTCTTCTTCTTCATGTTCTTTTTTTCTCTCTTTCTGGCCATCTGTGTGCTACCTTTTTCCATAGCTTTGTTGTTTTTTGGAAACATAATGAATATTCTTGACATTGAGGGACTTCTTTCAAGTAAAATTTTCTAGCCATCTTTTTTATTTGTTTTATTTATTTTTAAATTTTTAGGGTTTTGTGTTCTATCCCTCTCTCCTTACATTTATTTGATTTTTTGTTTTTGTTTTTTGGGGGTGTGCATATTTTTTGGTACATTTCCACCTCATTCGAATTGTTCTAGGTTGTGTTGTTGGGCTTTAGGTAATTGGAGTTTGGAGTCCATGAAATTACTCCCAAAGATGCCTACTTTTCTATTCTAATTTTCAGTGTCTTTGCTTGATAGATGGGTTTGGCCATGAATTTTTCTTTTGTTGAATCTATTACATAGAGTGGTGTGGGTTATTAGATATGAACTCTCACTGTATGAAGTTCTGATTTTCCATGCTGCTTTGAATGTGATTTGATGAATACCTTTATTAATTGTTTGCATTGTTGGTATTTTATTCAAGCAATATGCAATATTTCCATGCATTGTTTTTTTTTTAATGCACTCAGGTTTTTGGTAGATTCTCCATCGTAATGTTAGCAAGTGGTTTACTTGCTGCTTGTTGCTGTTTGAAAATTTTATCTAGTATCAGGAATTATTATTTGGTTTATTAATTATTATTAAGGTTCCTTTCTGCTTTCTTTTTCCCTTGGTTTGTTGGTATTCATTGGTTTGCTTTCAAATTGTCTCTTGTTCTTTGTGAAGGATTAGGCATAATTTTGAGTTTGTGTGCCTATTGTTTCATCTCTCTCTCCTCCTTCCCCGTCTCTATTTTGTACCACATGGTGAATACTTATCTTGTGTTTGTTTTATGATTCATTCCAAACCCAATCAATCAAGTGAGGTCGGTTACTTGAATTATTTTTTGCCATTATGCTTTGTCAAAGGCTACATGAATAGATAAATACTGAAAGCTATCATAATAATTCCAACCCATATAGTTGTGAGACTGCATATTTTATTTTCCTCTTTCCCCCCGTCTTCTTTGCAAGCAAGCAAATGGAGCATAAAATGGGTTATGGAGAAAGTAGAAATTTGTAAGGAAAAAAACAAAGAGAACGTCGGTGGATGGAATGAATTTGTGCTTAACATTCATACTGATGCTGCTTTTGCTTTACTATATAAATATATTAGCATCCTCTACTTGTCAAACTAGACTCAAATATCCCAATATGTCCCAAAAAACAAAGGTACTCGTACAATCGTACAGCATTTATGTCCCAATATTTGTTTTATAAATCCCTACTGATATGTTTCATTCAAATCTTGTGAGTTATCATGGAATATGTTCTGTTTGTTATGCTTTCTCTCCATTCTAGTTGTTTTCCTTAAAAAGTTGCAATATTCTATATGCACTGCAACTTTGATTATTAAAATTTTCTGATGTACTAACACTAGACCACATTCAATTTCTCTTTTATTTCAGGTGTTTCTGGTACCAGTCTTCTCAATGCTGTCAATTTGATTGCTTATAATGTGTTCTACACTAGTATCCCTGTTTCAGTCAGTCTCGTGGACAAAGATCTTAGTGAAGGAACTGTGATGCAGCACCCACAGATTTTATATTACTGCCAAGCAGGGAGGTTAGGATTTTTCTGCACTTAATCCACATGATTCTTTTTCTTGCATGATTACAACAAAGAGATGGCATGGACAGTGATATATTAGGACTTGCCTCTTTGAATATGTATCATCACTTTATTATATTTGATGCCTTCTTTATTGTTCCACCAATATGGTCCCACAATCTATGGTGCTGGAGTCCACTAGCTACTTAATTTAAGAATCTAAAGCCCTTTTCTTATGAGTTGTTGAGATGTGCCATTTTCTAATTAGACTAGATCAATGGTAGCCTTGAAGATTTGGCACCATTTCACCCATCAGAAACAATTGTCTTCCTATCTAAAAAGGTAACTTTAAACAAAATGTGAACACAAAATCCTATTGTCCATCCTCCTTCATGGGTTTCCCGACCGCATTGTCTCTGATGCCATTGACAAATATTAGTTTTCTGCGATAACCATGAGACCACATCTTCAGGTAGGCTGAAAAGCCATACTTGCTTTTGATCTGAATAGCAGCAGGGGCATATTATTAATAAGTAATTAAATAACAACAAGCACCTTTCGATTAATCAAATCCAACGTGCTTTGGATGCAACTCAATTCAAATTCTTGTCTGGCAATTCTTTTCTTGTTTAGTGGTCTTTTCTTGCCAAGAAATTTAGCAATAGGCTTGAATTTGAACCATCTGTTGGTCTGCAAAACTTTATCCTCTTTATTTATCTTCTCTGTATATTCTTACAAATGCTCAATTCTTTTTCTAATTTCTCTAATACTCGAAATTTCAACAGAAAATGGGTAGCAATATTGTGGGTAGCAATATTGTGTTCTCTGTGAAACGATTGATCTTTGTCATCTTCTCCTCCTTCGTGAAGAAACGAACAGAAAACCCTATTTTCATGATGATAGATAAGATAGGGTTTGCAGAGGAGTTAGGGATTTTAGGAACGGTTAAGCTGTGATGATTTCTATACAATATATATAAAGCGGAATTTTAGGAACAGTAAAGCTGTGATGATTTTTATATCTATACAATCTATATAAAGCATGGAGCCAAATATGAACAGTATTTTTTGAATGGTTAAAAAGTCGATTTTGCCCTTGTGCTTTCAAAATTTGTTTGCTTATAGTTGTTTATGAAAAGATCCATAGTATACCCTCTCTCTCTATATATCCTCAAAACATCCAAAGAGAATACTAGACTTATAAAGGCGTCCAAAAACTTTCACAGCTTCACATCTAGTTCAATTGACACAAAACAAAAAAAGAGAGCCTAGTTTTCATAATAAATTCACTCAACAAAGTTTATTGATCAATTCAAATGAACAATATAATTTATATCAATATCACCAAAATCACAACCAAAAAATAGAAATAAATCCCTTTTTTTTTCTTTTTTTTTTTTCAAGAGTAGTACCCTAATCTCTACTTCTAGTAGAAACCTATTTAGTACATACAAATTCTAGCTTTAAGAGTCAATTCCAAAAAAACCTAATAATTAGTACGTACATACAATTTTCAGAAGTGAAAGGATTCTTACTTATTTATTTATTTATTTTTTTGGGGGGGGAAGGAGGCTCATTGTCTGATCCAAATCATCTCCGGAAACAATTGCCTATACCATCCACTAAATATAAAAGGAAGTGCTAGAAAAAAGTTCAAAAAAGTTGGGCAATAACCAATCAGTTGTATTTTATTGAATTAGTAATGACTTAAATTTCCTAAACCAATCAATTAACTTTGGCAATAACCATACAATTACATAACCATGTGAACAAAGGAAGAGAATAGAAGAGAGAGAGAGGAGGAGGGTTCTCTAAGAGGGATATAGAGAGAGAGAGTGGGTATACTATGGATCTTTTCATAAACAACTGTAAGCAAACAAATTTTGAAGTCAGTTATAAAGCACAAGGGAAAAATTGACTTTTTAACCATTCAAAAAACACTGTTCATATTTGGCTCCATGCTTTATATAGATTGTATAGATATGAAAATCATCACAACTTTACTGTTCCTAAAATTTCGCTTTATATATGTTGTGTAGAAATCATCACAGCTTGACCGTTCCTAAAATCCCTAACTCCTTTGCAAACCCTATCTTATCCATCATCATGAAAATAGGGTTTTCTATTCGTGTCTTCACGGAGGAGAAGATGACAAAGATCAATCGTTTCACAGAGAACACAATATTGCTACCCATTTTCTGTTGAAGTTTCGAGTATTAGAGAAATTAGAAAAAGAATGAGCATTTGTAAGAATATACAAAGAAGAAGAATAAAGAGGATAAAGTTTTGCAGACCAACAGATGGTTCAAATTCAAGCCTATTGCTAAATTTCTTGGCAAGAGAAGACCAATAAACAAGAAAAGAGTTGCCAGACAAGAATTTGAATTGAGTTGCATCCAAAGCACGTTGGATTTGATTAATCGAAAGGTGCTTCTTGTTATTTAATTACTTATTAATAATATGCCCCCTGCTGCTAATCAGATCAAAAGCAAGTATGATTTTTCAGCCTTCCTGAAGATGTGGTCTCATGGTTATCACTGAAAACTAATATTTCTCAATGGCATCAGAGAAGATGCGGTCGGGAAACTCACGAAGGAGGATGGACACAAGGGAATTGTTTATGAACTTCCTAGAACACTAGGCTACTTTGACGACCACAATTTCACAAAAAGAAGTGATGTTGAGAATGCTGAAAGGCAGGGGGGCTCAGTACTCACTGATTGAACCTGTCAAAATGAGCGATGAGGATTCCGTCGTTGATGATCATTCATGTTCCTACTCATTTATAGATCATTGGATATACATTGACAGGATTGTCTTCAATTATTTAATTATGCAAGTTGTTCTTATTTTTTCTTGAAGGCTACTTAAATTTAGTCATATAGTAAGCTGGTTTAAGTCACCAACTTGTCACGACCTTGGTAATTTCCAAGCATTCCGTGCAACACTTAAATAATCTCAAGTCTTACTTGATGATGCTAAGTCAGTCTAACTTACAAACTTGCAAGAAAGACAAGTAAGAAGACAATGAGAGTTTGAGAGAATACCTTTCGTATTCATTTTGAGAAAGCTTTACAACTCTTGGATTGATTGGAGCGAATAAGCTCATCTCCTATTTATAGGCTCCCTAGGAGCATTCTAGAATACACAAGAAAAGAACTATGGAGAAGCTTCTCATGGAAGCTTTTCTTATCCTACAAGAGGGTTCTATAATCCTTCCTAAAAATATACGTTATTCTAGAAGTAGGTACAAGGGTCTTTTACCACGTCCATTTCTCAAGGAGGTTCTAGAAGCTTCTATTGCTTTCATTCCTCCAATCTTCACTTAAATGCTATAAAACCTATTCTAGATCCTTCCATGTACATTATAGAATTATGTACCATATTTTCACATTTTCTCAAGTCTTCTGAAATATTTCATTAGCCTCCCTTCCTTGAGACTTCCTCTTGGTAGGCAATTTGGTGGGATGTGACAAATTGCCTAGTACATGGTTTGGCCCAAGCCTGAGAATGAGCCAACAATGGTATCAAAATTTGTTTTCTTAATCATCTCATGTTATCAAACTTGCTAAATGTTATCAGTGAGATGCTTCAAAAGGAAAAGGCATTCTTCCTATTTATTGGTTTGGATCATCAATAACTCTATCAATAACACTTTTATTTATTTATTTTTTCTTCCAATAATTATAGGCTCGAGTGCCATTAACTATATGTTTTCTTTCTTAAACTTTTAGCTTTAAGGAACTCCCCAAATTAAATACTACTTTCATCAACACATAGGATGCCAATTATCACTCCATACCAAAGTGGATTGACCATTTCCAATAATATATCTGATAAATTGCACCCTTATGCTGTGTTTGGTTGGGAGATTTGAGGAGGGATTTGGAAAGGGAAATGGGAAAGGTAGGTGAAATGAGAATAAAATATGTCTAAATTTCACATAGTTTCACACACTTTTTTTCTTTTCCTTTCCAAATCTCTCCCCAAATCCTCTAACTAAACACAGCATTAAAGCTCCAAATTTGAAGATTTCCCTTATGGTCCATGAAGAGTAGGTTGGTATAGGCATCCTCCACAAACTGTTAGGGTATGTTTGGTTTGGATTTGTAGAGATTTTGAGAAATTTTTTTTAAAAAATTTGTTTGGTTTGTAAATTTTTCAAAACAATTTCCAAAAGCACTCTCTCTTACCTATCAATCAATTACTTTTTCTCTCTCCCCTCTCATTCTCAATCACTTTTTCTCTCACACACATCTACTCAATTATAATAAAATATTAAATCATTCCAAACTCTAAAATTACTTTTAAAATACACAACCAAACAAATCAAAAAAAATTTCTAAACTCTCCTCAAAATAATTTTTAAAAATTACTCTCTCAAAATCAAACCAAACATACCCTAGTCTTTAAGGGCCTTTTATACCCTGACCCCCTTCACATGGAGCACATACAACCATCTGTTGAATTTTTGCTCCTAACTATCTAAGATCGGAACTAGTCCGTAAGAAGGCTCTAAGAGTTCCTTCATCACCTTCTGAGGAAGAATGAAATGAAAGCTCTAAAGTTCATCCTCTTGATATCAACATGTCAGGTTTTGATTCCTATTCTTTTGTATGGACATCAAAACGATTTGAGCTCTTCCATTTGTAGCCCTGGCAATATAAATTTGAGGCCGTTATTGGACTATGTGATCAATTTCGCGAACAATCTACTTATATCGTAGATGTTATGATTTCCTCATTAGGAGATGTGCACCTACCTCTTCCAAATATGCCTAGTTTATGTCATGTCAATTGGAATTGAGAATGAAAAACAAAAAGTCTGTTTGCAGCCTTTATTCTCAAATTTGGGAATACAAAAACGTATCCAAACTACTTTCTATTTTGAATGATTTCTGAATTTTATCATGAAATTTTTTTGCCAACTTTTTATTATTAGTTTTGTTTTTTTTATTTTTTTTTATTTTTAGCATTTTTAATAAGTTCATCCGTCCATTAAATGTTGATAAAGAGAAGCATGCCCAAATGTGTGCATGCCTTTACATATCTGGTCTCATCATTTCAACTGCATGAAACCATTAACCAATAGCTTTTCTTCCATTTATTTTTAAAGTTTTGCCAAAATTGTTGTTGACTTAATCAGTTTCTAACCTAAGTTTCATCAAAATAAAAATTGGCCTTCAAAATATGACTCTATGCATAAATGTAAGGGGCCTTCAAGAAGAAAAAAATGAAACAGATTGTGCTGGACAAAGTAATTGGGAAAAGCCTATTAACAATAATTAATATAGGTTATGATAAACAATAAGCAGAGATAAACAGTGTAGATATGTGCCTAGTTGTCGTATATGAAGGAGTATCAAAACGGCATTTTGTAATAATTATACATATAATGTTAGTGTTAAATATAAATAGTAGGATGTTAGTAAGTTTGTGGGTGACATTACATAACTTTATGATTAGTTACGCTATTTTGTGGTTCTCAAAAATTTTATGCTTTTCGTTATGTCAATTTGTGGTTAGCTGACATATTTTAGTGGGTGACACTACGTATCTTTATGGTTAGGTTATGACATTTTTTGATTTTCAGAATTTTTATGCTTTTTGTTAAGTCAATATGTATCTAAGTTATGCATTTTTTTGGCAGATGTTATGTATCTTTGTGGTTACCTATGAAGCATGGACACTCCAAAATTGGTGCCGTGGCGATGTGTAAGAATTTATGTATTTATTGATTGATTGATAGATACATGATGATTGATTAATTACAATTCCTATACAATCTATATATAGAAGAAAATGTGGTAGTAGGTGTAGTGGAGGCTCACTTTTTTTTTTTTTTTTGTTTTTTCTTCTTCTTTTGCCTCTCTTATTTAGTGCTTTTGTAAAGAATATTGTTGGATGTTGAATGTTTCCCCTTCTTGTCTTAGTTCTTATTATAGTTTATTATGACTTTTTCTGAATGGATGATCTATTAATTTGTTTAAATATAGTGGATATATTTATTGAATTAATGTTACTATGTTTGTGTTTGGTAATTTTGATTTAAGATGAATGTAATATAAATTTACAAAACAAATAAAAATATATAAAAATAAAAAACAATCGTCGTGTCCCGGCCACGTCCGTGTCCGTGCTTCATAGGTGGTTAGGTTACGACATTTTGTGATTGCCAAAAGCTTTATAGTTTTCGTTATATCAATTTATGGTTAGGTTATGCGTTTTTGTGGGTAACATTATGTAACTTTATGGTTGCGTTACAATATTTTGTGGTTGTCAAAAGTTATATAGTTTTGTTAGGCCAATTTATGGTTAGGTTACACATTTTTGTGGGTAACATTATGTAATTTTGTGGTTAGGTTACAACATTTTGTGATTCTCAAAATTTTTATGCTTTTCGTTATGCCAATTTGTGATTAGATTACACGTTTTTATGGTTGATGTTACATAAGTTTATAGTTAGGTTTCGACATTTTGTGGTTACCAAAAGTCTTATAGATTTCGTTACACTAATTTGTGGTTAGGTTATTCATTTTTTGTGAATGAGGTTGCGTAACTTTGTAAATAGATTACGACATTTTTGTAGTTCTCAAAATTTTTATGCTTTTCGCCACACCAATTTGTAGTTAAGTTATGCACTTTTGTGGGTGATGTTACGTAACTTTGTGGTTACGTTACAACATTTTATAGTTTCCATAATTTTTATGATTTTTGTTATGCAATTTGTGGTTAAATTACGCATTTTTGTGGCAACGATATGAATTTTTGTGGAGAGGTTACTCATTTTAGTTGTAGGTCATGCTTTTTTTCTTTCGAGATTATGCATTTTCGTGAGTTGTGTTACGAATGTTTATGGTTATATAATATTATTTATTTATCATTTTAATATGTTTATCTGTTAGTTAACCTATTTTACAGGTCATCAATGTATAATAAAAACAACAAAAAGTATTAACTTTAACCACAAATCCCTCAATATAATTTTTAGTGGTAAAAGGACAACTAAATTGTTTTTAATATATAAGTGTCTTCGTAAAAGATTTCTGTTGCAACATGGACATAAAGTTAGCGTTTAAACTACCTCTAGATCAGGTAAAGAGATTATGCAGGCGTCCAATGTAATCCTTTGTCTCTCTTAATTATCTTGTGGCGATTTTTGGATATCATAAAAAGTCATCAATAATGTTAGAGGGTCACAATTTTTGTAACCACAATGGCTCAAAACTGTCAAAACGACATCGTTTTGGCATGTTTTGCACCAAAAACGACGTCGTTTTGGTAGTTTTGAGTCATTGTGACCACAAAAATTGTGGCCCTCAAACATTTTCCAAAAGTCATATAGTCTCCATAATCCTTACAACAAATAAAGGGAGTGTGTGCGTGTGTGTGTCCTATTTTACTCCCGCAAAAGGGTTTTTCCACATTCCGTTTTGCAGTAAAATAAGAGTAAAATTTCATTGGATGGAGAATTTTTTATTTTTTTATCTAAGCAATGGAATTGAATTTTTAAAAAAAATGTTTTTATATTTATAAACATTTAGAATCAATTTCATGATTTTTTGAGCAAGTTGAATTTTTTTTTTTATATTAATTTTGAGTCTTGTTTATTTGCTTTTTATATTTAAAATCATAACAAATTTGATATGAAAAATGAGAAGTGTTGTGATCTTTTTTGGCATGTTTGATTGGGTGGATTAGAGCATGAGATTGAGATTATTAATCCGTGGGCTCAATTATCCTATGTTTGTTTTAATATTTTGGTTTAGGATTATTAATCCAATGGATAATTAATCCAAATTATCCTATATTTGTTTTAATATTTTGATTTAGGATTATTAATCCAATGGATAATTAATCTAATAAATTTGTAGGATTATTAGTAATGGGGTAGGGGTGGGATTATTAATCCAATGGATATTAATCCAATTGGATAATGAATACCACATTAATTTAATAGGATTATTAACACTATGGGATTGAAATTATTAATCCGTGGGCCCAATTATCCTATATTTGTTTTAACATTTTGGTGATAGTTAATCCAACAAATTTATAGGATTATTAGTAATGGGGTAGGGGTGAGATTATTAATCCAATGGATATTAATCCAATCGGATAGTGAATACCACACTAATTTAATAAGATTATTAATACTTCACTATTAATCTTATGAATCAAACATGACGTTAGTGATTAGAGATGTTGATAACGAAATTTCCCTGTCCAAGCTAACATTTACATAATGAAATTTTACTATGTATGTATGTTATCTTGGACGGTAAATTTTATTAAATTCTTTTATTGCATAATCCATTTTGACCCAACTAAACCCACCCATTTGCCAACTGCATACATGATAAATGTTAGAAACATTGGATGATGCCCCAAGCTTCATTGAAAATGGAGCACGATAAGGTACTTCCTAGACGAGCAGTGATCAATAGCTTGCATTAGCATTACATAGCAATATTATTGCTAAAATTGCAGCCAAATTTCTTGCCACGAGGAGGAAAATAATTATACTAATTACAATAAAATAAAAATCAAATAATCCCCCAGCCAAATAATAATAATAACACCACACCTTATTGTAAATAACCTTCATCTCAAATTCAAAGTTCAGATTGAACACCGATTTAAATAATATTTGTAATAACTAATATTAGTTTTCTCACTACTAGCAGATTGTGCCCCAAAAAATAAAATAAAAACCTGTATCCTTGAAGACCCAGTAGACAAGTAGATACAAGCCAAGAAGTTCATAAACCGTTATGTCAACACCAATTGTATACCAAAAGGTAATCTTGTTTCCAGGTGTTGCCTGGCGCGAGTTCTAGCCAATTGTTGCTTGTCAGGATCTTCAGGTGCCCATTTATTTGGATGGCTGGGATCAATGATTATCTCCTGAAGTGACACAGTACTGCTGAGTATGTATGAGGCAATCTGCAGATCAGCTTTGCATCCAACAAATCCATTCGATTCAAGCACCTTGAGGCTTTTATGTAGATGTTTAGATCTTCGTATCTTCGTTTCTTTTGTGGAGTACTTGAAGTCCCAAAACTGCAAAAGAGAAAATATAATCCAAATAAAGTTCCAAACAACATATGCTCGAGCCAAGAATGGGTCTACACACACCCAAATGTATAATAGCAATTCCTAAGGGTTTTAGGAATCAAATTTTTTCGTCTCCAAAAATAAAAATTTTGTAGCAAAAAACACTAAGAGACCAATTTCAGCTGTTATGTGGATCATCATGAAAACACCATTCCAAAAAGTCCAAAAAAAAAAATTAAAAAAAAAAAATTAGCAACAAAAATTTAAAAATCTCACTAATAAATGCACTTTTAAGGACAATATTTTTGTGCAAAGATTAGACCAAAATTGTCCCAAAAAGATAGTAATTCATTATTCAATGTCCAATTTCGTCGCTAAAAATATAACGACACTTTTAACAACTAAGATATTTCGTCCTAAATTGTGATTTCATCCCAAAATTTGTCTCCAAAATCTTAATTTATTGTAATGCCAACTAGGGGCAAAGCCAAAACTCGGGTAAGAGTGGGTACTTTTTTGGGTGAATAAGAGTGGGTACTTTTTGGATGAACTAGGACCCGTTCCAAACCCTCCCTCCCAATGCCTGTATACAACCAACATGGGCAACATACCAGGGATGGATTGAAAAGGGCATGGCAGGGTGCCACCCTTGATACATTTAAATTACATAGATTCATATCTCTAAGATATTTTTGAGAAATTACCTATCGCCTAACAACTCCCTATAGTATGCTATATTTTTTGGACAAAAAGGCCCTCATAGGACTCTAGTGGTTGAGAAGACAAGGTGGGAAGAGAAGAGAGGTTGAGAAGAGAGAAAGTGTTGGAATAATTTTGGAATAAAATAATATTAATAATTATGGACGAATCAAAAAATGACGTATGTATCAAATAAGTGTAAAAAGTTGATAGAAACAAACGGAAACCGACGGAGGGTCACGACTGGGACACGGTAAAAAATTCAGGGTTTAAATTGTCAAAATTAAAATATTGGGGTTTAATGTGAAAAACACGCCAAACCCTTGGGTTTTTTTTTTTTTTTAATTTTCCCTAAAAATTTTAATAACTTTTTATCTAAATCTTTGTTTTTCATAAAAATATAAAACAAGACCTATAATGAATATGAAATTCTAAAGAAAAAAATTGTCAAAATTTTCACAGTTTGCTATCCTTGGACAGTAAAATTTCGGTGACTAAAATTCAATGAAATTTCACTGAATATTCCTTTGTGTAAACATATGTATATATATATATATCGAAAGAGAGAGTAACAAGAGATGAGAAGATTTACCTCCACAAAGATCTATTTCTAATGAGACCCAAAGATGGTGCCTATAGTTATCACAGTTCAATATATACATTGTTGATGATATAGGCAAATTAGGAAGAAAAAACAGAAGCGTTGAATGTGTACCTATTTTCTATAGGTGTAAAGAAAGCATATTCACCTCAATTTTAAGTATCCTCAATAAAGGAGACGCCCTTAGCAGGTATGCACAAAGGAGCCCAGAGACACCAGGATTGAGCATCAATTCCAATTGCCTGAGATTCCTTAACTTGGGAAGTCTAGGGAAGCATCTCAGCTTCTAGACAATTCAACCAAAAGTGAAGACAACAAATATTAATAAGCTTAACATTATTTAGACCCCCCCCCCCCCCAAAAAAAAAAAAAAAAAAAAAAGATGATAAAAGAAAAAAATAAATGAGACACCTACAAACATATGGAATCACATGCTAACCTTAAGTCCCCAACTCAAGTTCAATACAAGTGTCTCTAGTTGTAGGAGATGGCTTGAAACCTGTATAAAGTTCTTAACAATATAGCGAGCATAAGGCCCATCAAAAGTTGCCTTAACAAGATGCCGGCGTGTTTTAAAAGGCAATGTCGGTCTTTAGTCCACTGTATTTAAACGACATTAGATTTGCATCATAAATATCAACACTTCTCAAACAGAAGCAACCTTCGATCTTTGGCTTGAATGAAGGCCCAGAAACTGCAAAATTTACCAAAGATCGTGAATGCAATATACATAACTCTTCAAGCAATGGGCAAACAAACAAAATGTATTCCAAAACTTCCCATGTCACATCTACATGGCAGAGATAGAGGCTCGTTAGGGAATCAAGTCCGTGATAATGAAGAATATGAGCAGTAAGAGGGTAATTCCAATTCCCATTTGTCCAGGTACATCTAAAGTTGAACTTGAGCCTTTTAACTCTCTTTTGAAAGGCAAAGTTGATCTAACCATCAATATCACTTTCAAAGATTTTATCATCCAAACAAAATTGAATGCTGAATTCATTAATAATCGTACCACGATGAAACTTCAAGATATGATTAACCCAATCAACAAATTGCCTGCATTTAAGACCAAATAACTTATCTTCATGATCCACTATCTGCCAATCGCAGAATTTGAATATCAAACTACTAGTGAATGTCCACAAGTATCTCCATCTACGAGATAGGGCACTAGTTCTTGCTCCTTGTTCAATTTCCAACCGAGACAAAATGGAAATGAAAATTCCATCGAGCAAGTTACTAATTAGGTCCTTTAGGCAGATGCTTGTCCAACCACACTAATAACATTTCCAAAAAGAAAAGAAAAAAAATTACAATTTAACACAAGTTAGCAATAACTACACAAATTTGATACTTTTTTTTTATTTATTTTTTATTTTTTATTTTTTACGTATTTTGCTCTAACAACTTAAAACATGGTAATGGTGTATAAAGGGGTTATTTGGTACAGTTTCTAGAGCAACTTTTAGCTTTTTTGATTTGGAAATTTTTGCCAGTGTTTGATGTAACTTTTGCTTACAATATTTTAGGCAAAATAACTTAAATAAACTGGAAAAAAAAGAAAAAACTAATTATTAAGGTGTTTTAAGTTTCTCCTTCTAATTATCAACTTTCAGCTTGCTAGAAGTCGCACCAAATAAGCTCGAATTCTAGTAACATTATATCAATCCAAACTTGAACAACTTCATATGGCTAAATTTTATTAGAGTTAATTATACTTTGGCCCCGTTTGGTAGAACTGTGGAAAAGTGATTATAGATTATAACTTAACAGATTATGGCTTATAGCTGTGAACATAAGCTGTTAACCTGTTTGGTGCAGCTGTGGGTGTGGGATTATGGATTTAGCAGCAGAGTAGTGTTTGGTTAATAAGCTGTAAAATAACTTTTTACTGTGTAATTGTCCTTTTTGCCCTTATATGATATAAAAATGATTATTTTGTCATTTTTTGCAGTTTTAATTTTTTAAAAATTATTTCATTAATAAAAATTAATATAATTAGTATTACAAAAGTTAATATATTTTTTCTCATTTTTTAGTATAAATGAATTAGGTCTCAATTAATGGCTTAATTACCATAAATTAATACTAAAATTAATAATAGTATCAATTAGTATAATTTTTTTCATTTTTTCCATTTTTTCATTACAAATTAATTAGTGTCAAGTAATGGCTTAATTAGCATCAATTAATACTAAAATTAAAAATAGTATCAATTAGTATAATTTTTTTTTTCATTTTTTCATTATAAATGAATTAGGTGTCAATTAATGGCTTAATTACCATCAATTAATACTAAAATTAATAATAGTATCAATTAGTATAATTTTTTTTCATTTTTTCATCATAAATAAATTAGGTGTCAATTAATGGCTTGATTACCATCAATTAATACTAAAATTAATAGTAGTATGTATAATTTTTTTTCATTTTTTCATTACAAATTAATTAGTGTCAATTAATGGCTTGATTAGCATCAATTAATACTAAAATTAAAAATAGTATCAATTAGTATAATTTTTTTCATTTTTTCATTATAAATGAATTAGGTGTCAATTAATGGCTTAATTAACATCAATTAATTCTCTTTTCATTAATTTTTTTTCATTATAATTAATAATATGACAATTGTCATTACAATTAGTATTAATTAGTATCAATTAATATAAAAATTGATACATTTGATAAAATTATTTCATTATAAATTAATTAGTGTCAATTAATGGCTTATTTTTATTTTTTCATTATAAATTAATTAGTGGCAATTAATGACTTTTTGTAATCAATTAATACTAAAATTATTAATTAGTATTAATTAATATAAAAATACTGAAATTAATACTAAAATAATTAATACTAAAAATACTAAATTTATTAATTTTTGTAATCAATTTTAATAATTAATACTAAAATTATTAATAATAATGGCTTAATTATTATTATTATTATTTTATTAAAAAAATACTGAAATCTGATCGGAGAGAGTTCTCATCGGCGCGAGAGAGAGATCTAATTGGCGACGTGGCGATCGTGAAGTGGGGGACGACGACGAAGGTACAGCGGCGACTTGGGAGGACGACGACGACGACGACGACGACGACGACGACGAAGGTATAGCAGCGACGTGGCGATTGCGAAGAGAGAAGAAAAGAGATCTACCGCGATCTGCCACGCGATCTGCCGCGATTGCGATCCACCCTCTGAACCCGACGACGAAAAATCCTATGTTTGGTACCATGGATGTAGCAGAGAGAGAGAGAGTTCATCGGAAATCGCGATCTGCCACGATCTGGCGATCGCGATCCACCCTCTGAACCTGATGATGAAAAACCCTAGGTTCGGTGCCATGGATGTAGCAGAGAGAGAGAGAGCGAGGGAGAGAGATCTCTGGTTCATGTTCGCCAAAAATCACTCGAAATGGCTGGAAATCGCCAGACAGCTTTGTTGAAGAGACAAAAATGAGAGTTTTTTTGATTTATATATATGGTACACTTGTAATTACTTGAAATTATGAGGGGCATTTAAGTCATTTTGCCCCTTAAATTGCAACTGTTCGGTTAAGCTGTTCCAAAAAGCTTTTCCTCTCCCACTCAAAGAAAAAACTGATTTTTGACTTAAAAAACCTATAATCTGTATTATTAAGCTGAACCAAACACACCAAAATAGCTTAAATTAAGCTAAAAGCTGAAATAAGTAAAATAAGCTATACCAAACAGGGCCTTTATCCCCTCGTGGATTATTCCTAAAACACTTACCCCTTGAGATTTAAAATGTACACAACTCTATTGTAGATTGGATTAAAGTGCTCAGCCTAAATCCTTTAATGATTTTCACAAAAAGTCAAAATTACCTTTATTTTTTCGTCTAATTTTCTTCTTTATGCCACTACATGACAATCTCTCCTTTATCTCTCTCTAGAAATTGTACCACATCACAACCCTTCCCAAACCCACTTATTTTTAAAATATAAAAATGATTCAAGTGTCATGCACATAACAATTTGCTAAGGGTGAGCATGGTCCAGATTGGTCCGATTTGGGTTAAAACCAGGACCAATCTGTTATTTACGGTTCCTGAGAAATCAGAATCAATCCAATTCATTTAAATCGTGGAACCAATCTGAACCAATCTGTTTAAACACGGATTCACATAATTAAATAAAAAAAATATACAGAACATTTAAAGCAAACAAAAGCAAACAACATCATGTGTGAACTAATCAACAAAAACAACAACATATAAAATAACAAAAACCCATTAAAAAATATCACCAATTCTCTAAAATGTCATCTTATGTAATAAAATTCCAACCAAACAAACAGCAGCAGTAGTAGACAACAACAAACAAATTCAACAGTAGTAGACATTTCCCTTTCCACAATTTCTAAGCAAACAAACAGAGATAAACTAGTTTTAGAAGGGAGGCATACCTTTGAACCCAAAGGAGTTTCAGGCTAAGGATCCTGCTCTGGCTCAAACTAAGACTGAAAGAGGTCGATGACATCATTTGTCTCTCCAATACTTGACATCTATCAAACAAGAAAAACAAATACATCAAAAAAACAGGATTAATATTATTAGAGAACATAAATCATACCAGAAATCAAAGAAAAAATATACACCGTTTCTCTCCATACCATAGAAATCATACCAGAAATCAAAGAAATTTTTTTTTTATCCACACCACAGAAACCAAAGAAAAAAATAAATCATATAATATACACACACCCATTTAAGATACAATGTTTCTCTCCTTATATACAGAAATCACTATTTCAGGAAAATATATATATATATATATATACACATACCCATTTAAGGTAAAAACAGAAAAAAAATAATAAATAAAAACTCTTACTTACAGTTACCGATCTAATATGAGATGGATGATCTGAGCTGATTGTGTTTGAGAATAAAGGAACAAAAATAGTGTCACAAAGAGAGAGAGAGAGAGAGAGAGAGAGAGAGAGAGATAGCTCACCGAGAGAGAGACAAGCAGCTCACCGATCTGATCTGAGATGGATGAGAGTGTGAGAGACAGTACCAAGAGAGAGAACTCAGTCTTGAGATAAGAAAGAGAAGAGAGCGAGAGTACCGAGAGAGAGATGAGAGTGTTAGAGACAGTGTGGCGTGAATGAATTAGGTTAGACTTTAGCTTTTATATGAAACAAGAAATTATATTATGTGGGAGGGTATATAGTATAAATATAGACTATTTCTATACGGTTGGGATCGGTTCCAATCCGAAATCGTGGGGTTCAATTTGGAACCAATCTGTGGCCTACGGAT